TTGTCTACTAAAGCTGTTGTATCTATAACTGAGGATGGAACACCTCTATAAGAGGTCATGAAGATGGTAAATGAATTCACAGTAATTGATTATTGAATCTGAGATATTGATAAAGCATTTTTATTTTTAATATAAAGATCTACGCAAACAGAGACACAATTAAGCAAACTTGCATTGAACTGTTGAAGACATTTAAACATATTACAAAGCGATATTGTTTTAAGTCCACACCTGATTTAACGCATAGAATATTTCCAAGGTATGATTTATCAATGGTCTTTTATAAATACTAACGTAGGTCGTTTAACTTATTGATTGACTGTTGCTTGCTTAGTGTAAACATATTTTTATTAAAGAATTCGTTAGATATAGCTACAAGAGTGAACAAATACGAAATATACTAGTAAAACAAAAATTTTGATAAGGAAACAAGAGCATTGCTCTTATATTTATAAATCCATCTCACTGCTTGCTAACGTCAAGTTAGAAATATTGCACGCACGCACGACAATAAATTAACAATTAACATGACCCCTCCGAACTCCTCTGATAGTTGCAATGGTTCTTTAACATACAGAGAGCGGAGCGTAGCAATCACTCTACAAAAGGCTTCGGATATAACATCTCCATCCAGACCGACGTTAATGCGTATTTATACATCCCGAACACCAAAACGACGCCCCACTTAAGCAATGGTTTTACTGAAGACTGGGTGAACATGTAGTCCTGTGATGACCATATTTTGATACCCAAGCCGATCATTGCAATGTGAACCATGATCATATTTAATATACTGGTGAATATATTCAAATCAAGATTACGAAAAAAAATAAAGGATGAATCATGATCGTATATTATTTGTTTTGTCATAATGTGAATGGACATGATTTGTTTTTATTTATAGTTTCACATTTTCTGAAGCAAAGACGTCAATGACTTCAAGTTTGTTTGTATTATTTTTTTCTCGTTTTTTCCCTTAATATTAAAAGGCTATTGTGTTTTTTCATCGTCATTATCATCATTTGTTTTGACAATATTATTATCATTTTGGAAAATGACGTGTTGTTGGTTAACACGTTCATTTTATGTACGATAAATATCTTCTCTTCTTTTAATGCCAAGACTATATTTGTTTTCTTTTGTGTTAATATATTATGACAAAAATAAATAAAAAAATTGAAATAGATAAACAATAATATAACAGTGTTTTAAATAATAGGTTATTTTAGCTCGATACTGGATAAAGGTTGTGATTGAAATATCGCTGAGAAATCACTATGTACTTTTAATTATTGGCAATTTTGGTCTCGTGTCATTTGCGTCAACACGTCATTTACACACCAGCATATACTTTGATACTCAACTGCAGCCTCTAAACCATTTTTTAGAATTTATTTAACCATAAATTTGTGTATCCTTATTTAATATCTTTTTCTGAAGTCTAATCGTCTTCCAATTTAAGATGCAGCCTGTTAACTAAGTTGTTCAACTTAATACCAGTTCATGCATCATTCAGTAGGGTTTTTTTTATCTTTCATTATACAATGTTATATCAAACAGCATACAACTTTTATTTGTTGTTTCTTGGAAAGGAAATTGTTGGAAATAAGTTCTTCAAATGACAATCCTGACAAGTTATAATAGTATATTCAAATGATTTTATAATTAAAACAAGCACACACGACCAACTGCTTTTGCATGTCCTATGTATCTTTAACCACTAGATCTATCATTAACAAAACTTACTTCAGTAACTTCGATTTGTTTAACGATACATAATATTTGAGTTTTTAGTGTATGAACAAATGTTTTTTTTCTTGTAAAATTATTTTGTTCTTATAAGTAGTGCATTAATTTTTCTATAATCCTTCTATAATATGAACAACCCGTGCCTAATATTCACTAAAGAACAAATATAATGTGTTATTAATTAATACCCTTCGCTTTCCAGAAGACAAGGATGACGACATTCATCTCATTAAACATCAGTGGGGAATTTCCACCTGGAATATGCCATTAGATCTGATATTTTCAACATGTATAACAGATAATGCGGATATCCCTCAATTTGTCAGCAACATAACGACAGAAAAACCAAAAGACTGTCACACCTGGAGGTAAACGAACGGCCTTTATTACCAATAGACATGCACGTGTCTACACAGATTGATTGCACGATGTGCGTGTTTATCTAAGCAATTGTAATCAGATTGAATTACAAGCAATACAACATTCATCTTTCTGTTACATAAATGTCAAATATTCTCGATTGTCATTTAGATATATTTTTCATCTATCAAACATGTACCTTGTACGTTTAATTATGAAATTTGCCCTTAATTCTTAAGAATATTAAATTTGAACGAGTGCTCAAATTAAATCAAAAGTCTCGAAAATTCTAATGCCATTACATAGACAAGACAAGACAATATTTTATTTAAGTCTCACCTCTTCATTTTATAAAACATACAAATAGTTAATAAAACAATATTATAAAACATACAAGAGCCACTCTAAAAAGAGTTATGAGAGACTATCTAAAATGTTACAGTATATACATTATTTACACTAAAATTAGCTATATAAAATACATATTCGTTTCAATAAAATGTCATTGCAGATTTTGGCAGTATAAAAGTACATATTTTCATCTCTGAATAAAAATATAAATTTATCGTCATCAGACAAATGCATAAAGTTAACATTAAATAGAGATGCTTGATAAAACAAATAACAACGCAAATCTTCATACACTGGACAATTCATTAATACATGTTTTTCGTCTTCAATTAAAAGATTTTCATTACAAATGCTGTTATAACAAATTCTATTTTCAACTAAAAGACCTTCATACCTTCCAGTCTCAATTTTCAAAGGAGCAGTACCACTTCTAAATTTGGCATAGGCACTCCTATATTTACCAGACCTGTATGTTTTTTAATAAATAATTTTCTTCACCAAATTCTTTTTTGGACAGTCTGTAAGTACGTAGTTTGCTACGCTCGTTTGACATTAAATCATTATACCATTGCTCTTTAAATCTATTAAAACGGATATTCTCAATATTTTTATAACATTTTTATCAATAATTAAATCAGTATTACAAAAATGTTCCATATCAACTTCTTTAAACTTTGTGTGTACTCTGAAATTCCAATTTTTCAGTCTATTATATCTTATATTATTTGCCCATATAAACACCTTTTTGTTTATTCTACTAAGTATTACACATTTTCGTAAATCTACTATATGTTCTAAAAATACATGTCCATTGTTTTACAATACATGGCATCCAACCCATATCACCATATAGGGCTAAATTAGGCGTGTACTTTCCAACACCCATAAAAAACCGCATTGCCCTATTTTTAACAGCATAAATGCAAGAGTATTCTTTACTTCCCTATATTGCAGCACCATATTCAATAACAGACATAACAAGAGTGTCGAAAAGCTTAGTAAAAGTAGAATATTCAAAACCAACATTTGCTTTGCATTTAGCAATTAGTAAACCTAATGATCTGCTGGCTGATTTTGCTACAATTTTCGCCATCTCATTATAATCCAAAAACTCAATTTAATAATAAACCAAGATAACCAGACTCAAGCTAGCGACCAATTCTAGCGACCAATCAAGCTAGCGACCAATTCTAGCGACCACTAAAGAACACAATGAGAATCAACTTGTTTAAGAATCATTATGTGGTATATGAGAAAACCACAAAACCACATTACGAAACAACGTTCTGTTAAAAAGAAAATCTATCTACCAGTACGGTATATATATTGTTTTTTAACGTTAAATGACCAGAAATGTCCATCAAATTAAGGGAGAAGGGACACTACAATACGAATGACGTCTGTAGCTGAATGCACTAACTAGTTTGGTTGCTAAATGTCTGCATCAATATCAATGAGTAAAATATAACGTGCCAGAAAATCGTAAAAGTCAAAACAATTTAATACAATAGAAAAACAAAGGATATGGGGTATCCCTCCATGACACAAAATCAGTAAATGCACAGCGAAAAACACACAAAAAGCTAAGGAACATTCTTTGTTAACGAACTATTTTTATTCCCTTACATTCGAACACATACTATATGTTATCATATATGTATTTATATAAATAAAGGTGCGCCTCTCTCCGGAGTTTATTCTATCGGGAGAGGGACTAGTTGGGAAATAAAGTAATCCATATTTTGACGTCTTCTTTACGTTTTCTCTGTTTTCCAAACTCTAAACCGAGATCGCAAAGATAAATTAATTATTGTAAACAAAATATTAAAAACGGAGCGTATATCCTCCAAGCACATAATGGCTATACAATAGTACTTTGCGGTTTAGAAATCAGAATAAAAAGCTAAAGAGTTTTAAGAATTTGAATAATAATAAAAAAAAAAACAAGAGTGTTTGTTTATGATGATTTGCTCGCACAATCGTTTTCAATATTCAGTGAACCGTAAATAATTTAAAAAGTACATATTTTAATGAACATGTGTACCTAGTTTCAAGTTGATCTGACTACAACGTCATCTTAGACTAGATTCAACACGAACGTCATTCTAATGCAGTATGAATGGACGGACAAACGGACAAACGAATTAACGAACGAACACAAAAACCAGATAATATTATGGGTTTTACTGTCGTAGGCGGAGCATAGAATAACTATTCACTTAAACTTGTTCCTTTGTTCAAATAAACGAAATAAGAAAAATATTATGTGCGAAAGAATAACTATATACTGGCTTTCCATACACTCGGCATCCTCAAATATCCTTTAGTTTCTAGAAAAGAAACTTTTAATGTCTATTCCCTATACTGAAAATGAAAACATACAAAATAACAAACTGTAAGAGTACATTTCATGCCCACATTCAATATTTTGAATTGAAAGTTTACGTGCACTATTTTGTACGGCATGCATCCTTACTTAAAAGAAATGTAAAGATGTTTTTGTTTAAAAAAAACCGTACACTTTGAATTTCAACTTTACCCCCTTCAATTCCCAGAAGGTCCTAACCCCCAAAAAATCATTTCAGTGGGTCCTGCTCTGATTCATTACCTTTCACTTGAGCTATGTCCGGTGTCGAACTTTGCCGTATGGAGCTGGCGAGACTTGCCGAAAGAATGTACGGTGGACACGTAAAAAAAAAAATAATACCAACTTTGAACCCCTTCAATTCCCAGAAGGTCCTAACCCCCAAAAAATCATTTCAGTTGGTCCTGCTCTGATTCATTACCTTTCATTTGAGCTATGTCCAGTGTCGAACTTTGCCGTACGGAGCTGGCGAGACTTGCCGAAAGAATGTACGGTGGTCACGTAAAAAAAAAATAATACCAACTTTGAACCCCTTCAATTCCCAGAAGGTCCTAACCCCCAAAAAATCATTTCAGTTGGTCCTGCTCTGATTCATTACCTTTCATTTGAGCTATGTCCGGTGTCGAACTTTGCCGTACGGAGCTGGCGAGACTTGCCGAAAGAATGTACGGTGGTCACGTAAAAAAAAAAATAATACCAACTTTGAACCCCTTCAATTCCCAGAAGGTCCTAACCCCCAAAAAATCATTTCAGTGGGTCCTGCTCTGATTCATTACCTTTCACTTGAGCTATGTCCGGTGTCGAACTTTGCCGTATGGAGCTGGCGAGACTTGCCGAAAGAATGTACGGTGGACACGTAAAAAAAAAATAATACCAACTTTGAACCCCTTCAATTCCCAGAAGGTCCTAACCCCCAAAAAATCATTTCAGTTGGTCCTGCTCTGATGCATTACCTTTCATTTGAGCTATGTCCAGTGTCGATTTTTGCCGTACGGAGCTGGCGAGACTTGCCGAAAGAATGTACGGTGGTCACGTAAAAAAAAAATAATACCAACTTTGAACCCCTTCAATTCCCAGAAGGTCCTAACCCCCAAAAAATCATTTCAGTTGGTCCTGCTCTGATTCATTACCTTTCATTTGAGCTATGTCCAGTGTCGAACTTTGCCGTACGGAGCTGGCGAGACTTGCCGAAAGAATGTACGGTGGTCACGTAAAAAAAAAAATAATACCAACTTTGAACCCCTTCAATTCCCAGAAGGTCCTAACCCCCAAAAAATCATTTCAGTGGGTCCTGCTCTGATTCATTACCTTTCACTTGAGCTATGTCCGGTGTCGAACTTTGCCGTATGGAGCTGGCGAGACTTGCCGAAAGAATGTACGGTGGACACGTAAAAAAAAAAATAATACCAACTTTGAACCCCTTCAATTCCCAGAAGGTCCTAACCCCCAAAAAATCATTTCAGTGGGTCCTGCTCTGATTCATTACCTTTCATTTGAGCTATGTCCGGTGTCGAACTTTGCCGTACGGAGCTGGCGAGACTTGCCGAAAGAATGTACGGTGGACACGTAAAAAAAAAAATAATACCAACTTTGAACCCCTTCAATTCCCAGAAGGTCCTAACCCCCAAAAAATCATTTCAGTGGGTCCTGCTCTGATTCATTACCTTTCATTTGAGCAATGTCTGGTGTCGAACTTTGCCGTACGGAGCTGGCGAGACTTGCCGAAAGAATGTACGGTGGACACGTAAAAAAAAATAATACCAACTTTGAACCCCTTCAATTCCCAGAAGGTCCTAACCCCCAAAAAATCATTTCAGTGGGTCCTGCTCTGATTCATTACCTTTCATTTGAGCAATGTCCGGTGTCGAATTTTGACGTACGGAGCTGGCGAGACTTGCCGAAAGAATGTACGGTGGACACGTAAAAAAAAAATAATACCAACTTTGAACCCGTTCAATTCCCAGAAGGTCCTAACCCCCAAAAAATCATTTCAGTGGGTCCTGCTCTGATTCATTACCTTTCATTTGAGCTATGTCCGGTGTCGAACTTTGCCGTACGGAGCTGGCGAGACTTGCCGAAAGAATGTACGGTGGACACGTAAAAAAAAAAATAATACCAACTTTGAACCCCTTCAATTCCCAGAAGGTCCTAACCCCCAAAAAATCATTTCAGTGGGTCCTGCTCTGATTCATTACCTTTCATTTGAGCTATGTCCGGTGTCGAACTTTGCCGTACGGAGCTGGCGAGACTTGCCAAAAGAATGTACGGTGGACACGTAAAAAAAAAAATAATACCAACTTTGAACCCCTTCAATTCCCAGAAGGTCCTAACCCCCAAAAAATCATTTCAGTGGGTCCTGCTCTGATTCATTACCTTTCATTTGAGCAATGTCTGGTGTCGAACTTTGCCGTACGGAGCTGGCGAGACTTGCCGAAAGAATGTACGGTGGACACGTAAAAAAAAAATAATACCAACTTTGAACCCCTTCAATTCCCAGAAGGTCCTAACCCCCAAAAAATCATTTCAGTGGGTCCTGCTCTGATTCATTACCTTTCATTTGAGCAATGTCCGGTGTCGAACTTTGCCGTACGGAGCTGGCGAGACTTGCCGAAAGAATGTACGGTGGACACGTAAAAAAAAAAATAATACCAACTTTGAACCCCTTCAATTCCCAGAAGGTCCTAACCCCCAAAAAATCATTTCAGTAGGTCCTGCTCTGATTCATTACCTTTCATTTGAGCTATGTCCGGTGTCGAACTTTGCCGTTCGGAGCTGGCGAGACTTGCCGAAAGAATGTACGGTGGACACGTAAAAAAAAAAATAATACCAACTTTGAACCCCTTCAATTCCCAGAAGGTCCTAACCCCCAAAAAATCATTTCAGTGGGTCCTGCTCTGATTCATTACCTTTCATTTGAGCTATGTCCGGTGTCGAACTTTGCCGTACGGAGCTGGCGAGACTTGCCGAAAGAATGTACGGTGGACACGTAAAAAAAAAAATAATACCAACTTTGAACCCCTTCAATTCCCAGAAGGTCCTAACCCCCAAAAAATCATTTCAGTGGGTCCTGCTCTGATTCATTACCTTTCATTTGAGCAATGTCTGGTGTCGAACTTTGCCGTACGGAGCTGGCGAGACTTGCCGAAAGAATGTACGGTGGACACGTAAAAAAAAAATAATACCAACTTTGAACCCCTTCAATTCCCAGAAGGTCCTAACCCCCAAAATATCATTTCAGTGGGTCCTGCTCTGATTCATTACCTTTCATTTGAGCAATGTCCGGTGTCGAACTTTGCCGTACGGAGCTGGCGAGACTTGCCGAAAGAATGTACGGTGGACACGTAAAAAAAAATAATACCAACTTTGAACCCCTTCAATTCCCAGAAGGTCCTAACCCCCAAAAAATCATTTCAGTGGGTCCTGCTCTGATTCATTACCTTTCATTTGAGCAATGTCCGGTGTCGAACTTTGCCGTACGGAGCTGGCGAGACTTGCCGAAAGAATGTACGGTGGACACGTAAAAAAAAAAAATAATACCAACTTTGAACCCCTTCAATTCCCAGAAGGTCCTAACCCCCAAAAAATCATTTCAGTGGGTCCTGCTCTGATTCATTACCTTTCATTTGAGCTATGTCCGGTGTCGAACTTTGCCGTACGGAGCTGGCGAGACTTGCCGAAAGAATGTACGGTGGACACGTAAAAAAAAAAATAATACCAACTTTGAACCCCTTCAATTCCCAGAAGGTCCTAACCCCCAAAAAATCATTTCAGTGGGTCCTGCTCTGATTCATTACCTTTCATTTGAGCAATGTCTGGTGTCGAACTTTGCCGTACGGAGCTGGCGAGACTTGCCGAAAGAATGTACGGTGGACACGTAAAAAAAATAATAATACCAACTTTGAACACCTTCAATTCCCAGAAGGTCCTAACCTTCAAAAAATCATTTCAGGAGGCTCTGGTCTGATAAAAATCAATTGATAGAAATCGTTTGTATGTTTTTTGGTAGATTTTAAGTCCCTGTCTATGATTTTCGCAAGAGTGTCCGTAGATAAAATTCATTTCGCCTTGTTATTTTGTCGCCATCCTGAGTTTTTTTTGTCTTAAATGTACATTGTACATTATATGAATAACTTAATGAGAAAAAGCCAAATGAAATTTTTAAAGGGCACTGAATGAAAAAAAATCGTAAGCTTAAAATTATTTATTCAGCAACACTACAGATGTCACATGTCAAGCAGGATCTTCCTACCTTGCCACAGATCCAATATATTTAGGGTCAGCTCATCCATGTAGACGGTTTCGATAATTTTACAACCCAATTCAAGTTTTTTTTACATGTTGACATGATTTAGTGTGAATCAATATTTCTATTGATATGTACTATCTAAGGCCATCCTGTTTTTTCCTAAAACTTTCATAACACAAATCTATTTTATTAAAGAAATATGTAATTTTAGGGGATTAAAAAGATGACTTAGTCAGAGTACGAAGGTTCGAATCCTTCCCTAGGCTTTAACCATATTAGCTGGTCGCAAAGAGGACAGATTGCCAATGGCCTCGCCCTGCTAAAGTTATCTTTTTTCAGATTATAGTAATGCACATGTATAAAAAAATATGCTAAGTGTTTCATTTAATTCGGGGAGGGTGAGGGGGTGCAAATTAACACGACTACTGGTAAATTTTCTCAATTTACCAGTAAAGCACAAGCTGTGAACAGAATATAAGTCATTATTTAATATCCCAGGTTCATGTATCAATCTGCAATTTACACATTGCAAATTTCTTAATGGTCTAAATCAAATAAGTGAAAACAGACTGTTTTACTCTACACATCTGACATCCAAAAAAGAACGAATTTCACTGTTAAGTAAAAAAACATGTACTTTAAATGTAGTTCATTTCAAAACTTTATAGCAAGATATTTTTCTAATTAAACAGACAACAAATCAATAAAAAGAATTAAAGAAAAATAATACCATACTTCTTTTTTTTCAATTTGAATACTTAGAATTCCAAGAATATGAATCTTCAACCAGGCCTTGGAACGCAGAAATCGTTTTCTTTTAAAAAAAGGTCAAGATTACACATTGGCGGAAATATACTCTGTTATACTAACAGACATAAAATAGTTCTCAGCACAAGGATTAATTGATTGAGGGTTGTTTTCATTTTCATCTAGTGACAAACAGTTCGTGCAGGTTTAAAGCGAATTAGTACAACCGATAAAATGTGACATGGCTTTAAAGCAGTTTGTACGAAAACTTTAAATGTGTAAATATGCATTTTTTTTCAATGAGATAAACAACATGTAAAATATAATTGATTTGTATTATATCTTGAAAACCAACAAAAAAAAAAAACAAATCTAACCGTCATTAGAATAATAATTTAATCCTTGTTCAACTTGCTGGAATCCGACATTTATGTTTACTTTCTGATGGCATAATGAAATTACCTGCGAATACGATCATACACGGGGCGCAAAACTTACTTGCGCGAGCTTCCATCTCATTGGATAAAACGGTAACGTGATCAATTTTTAATATTAATTTAGTTCAAGCTATCAATCATTTTATTTATATTACGAATTATATATACCTCGTGTCTAACTCATTAAAATATTTAAACAAACTCATCATTCGGATTCGTATGTTTAAATATGTTTAGTCGTTAGAACCATGTTATATATATTACATGTACGAGAGGTTCAAGTATATAATGATTTGCATTTCATAAGTCTCTCAGCTTTCCCGAAATATTCTTCATTTTCTAAACTTTTATATATATAATGTTTCATACACTTTATACTGTAAATTCCATCCAGACCCTCAGAGCAGTTGCTGGGTGCTTCTGAGAGGTCCGCGTTTGAACAATATATATTACTGCGTCTCAGTTCAATGTTTCCCGCCTAAAGAAATGAAAACTTAAAAGGAGTTGCTACAATGTATTAAATTCGATGCGTTTTCCATACTATGATTACTGTTTGGAATGGACACTTTGTGAAGTTTTTTTTATGTGTGGTTCTATCGGATGTTCAATTTATATGGATATTTCTAATGTAGTCGTGTGAAAAGAACAACGTGGTAAGTTTTATCTTTTTATCATACTTTATTCTTTGTCTGCAATAAGTTAGTTTATATTTTGTTGTTTATATGTCCGTTCGTCTATTCGCTTAGCAGTCCGTTACACTTTGTCTTACTTTAATATTTGCCCATGCTTTTGTCTTAAAATGGTAATGAATGTTCCTGTTGCTATCTTATACCAGTCATTAAGATTAAATCCCTTAATTCAATTTTTAATTCAAGAACGTGTTGGCTAATGTGAAAAGCTGACAGTGTCAATTTTAACAAGATTTCTGAAGCCAAATATGGGCTACAGATTAGGTGATGTATTGTTGCGCCCAATATTTAAAACATATCTCTAACGGTATATTTAAAAGATAAATTTACTTCTTTTCATTGCAATCAATAAACATATAATAAACCAAAAGGTGAAATATTCACTAAATTATAAGTAAAAAATAGAAATATAATTAAACGTTAATTCTTCAACTTTTCTTCTTTTATTGTCAAAATGTATGTTGCTTAATGTTTTTTACACCGTACAAATATGTAAATCTTGTTTTACGCGTGTGTAGGCACAATCAATAGTTGCGAACAAATTGAACGCAATAAAAGTTCAGAACGTTCCATATCAGATCAGGGGCAGGTTGTCTGATGTATCTGAAAATTTCAGGAAATATGTAGGGAATTTTTGCAGATTTAGGAAATGATCTTGAATAATATAAAAGATAGAGATAACTGTAAACAGCAAAAGTGTTAAGCAATGTAAGCTCTACAAATAAGTCAACATGATCAAAATTTTCTATTGAACTCTTTAGGAGTTATTTTAAAAAAGAAGATGTTGCCCCTTAAAGTAAATTTTACAATTTTACTCAATTTTTCGTAAATTATTGTAATCTTTTACAAAAATCTTTTCCTTTGAAACTATTAATCCAAGTTAAACCAAACGTAGCCTTAATCATTCTTAGGGTATTTAATTCAAAATATGTATCTGATGACCCTGCCTATTACATGTAACCAAGATTACTGCTATGGCTAGCAAAAAAAAAAACCATAGGAGTAACATGCAGTTTATGGCTTTGATCTCTGAAACAAGCATTTTTAGAAAATCTGACACGGTATAAAAAAAAAGCTCATTAAGACCTCATGTGTATTAAAATTTAAGCACCTGCTTGAGTTATATGTGCATCAATCAATTTCGTATTGATTATTGTTGAATAGTTTCATTTCAATAAATTTCTGACCATATGCTTTTCATATACTTGTTACGTTGGTTATGTTCTTATGCTTTAAAATCAATGTTTTTTTTAAATGTTAACCAAATTTTTTTTCAGGATTTATTGGATAGATATTTCGAAGACGAAAGAATAGAAGCAACCTGCTGTAATGGTGTAAAGAGATGGCGACATATTCGTTCAATAAATGTGCCATCAGATCAGTCAATCTGTCTGGTGCGCCACACGTCAATGAACAACATAACAAGAAAGAACAGGAAACCAATATCAATTGACAGAATTTTGAATATGGGAAAATACATGTCTACACAAACGGATCTTTTATACAGGCTTACTGGTGTTGTAATTCACCATGGAACTAGTCCAAGAAATGGACATTATACATATGTCAAGACAGATGGAGGTCCTCAAATACAGATTAATGATTGCTCATTTAAAGTTTACGTTGATTCTAATCTTTTGAAAGATTCATACCTTCTGCAGTACGAACAAATTCCGGATGATGAAGCCATATGCCATCATTACCCCTCAGATGTAATAATGTCCATTATTGAGTGTGAAGACTTGAAGAAATTAGAAAACACCATTCAATTCTCTGTAGCTCTGAGCGTGAGGAAACATATGCTTTTCCAACTGATGCAACAAATTACGATTACGGAGGAAATACAGATACACTCTTAGAAGGCCTATAAAATTCTCCAAGAGGTTATTGGTTCGGTGGTTGATACTTCCATTGCAGACATTACAAAAACAGTTTTAACTTATTTTTCCAACAACTGTCCCGCAGCACTGTATGAAAACTTTGGAATTACTAGCATAAGATCCTATCATTGCAGTAACTGTCACAATAAAGGTACAGATTGTGAGCAGCACTTGTTACAAGATTGTCAAATGTTCAATAATCCAATAAATTCATCCGTTACTTCCCGCAAACTATCGACCTGCAATATGTGTGGAGAACAATCTTTAACTGAAGGAGAGTACGTGATAAATCGGGCCAGGACTATGATTGTGAAGGACTGTCTCGACATTTTAAAACTTGAGCAGCTGGAATCACTTATGTCGATATGTAATCCAAGGGCAATCGTCTCAAACTCAGGAACAGTTCTTTTTAAATACGCATCGGAAGCAGTACACATATTGTTGGTAGAAAGACATGGAACAGTTTGCCAAATAAACGTAGGTCAGGTTTACGAAGCAACTCGTAACACCAATGAA